GGGCACGGCCTCGGTGAGGGCACAGGTGCAGCCGCAGCGATGGCCGCGCCGAGGGGCCCTTCCCCTGGGCTGAGGAGTCGAAACTTCAGCGGGCGTTGGGGGTGTGTTTGCGTTGTTTTTTTTTTTGTTTTTCTGTTTTTTGTTTTGGTTTTGTTGTTTGTTTTTCTTTTTCTAATTTAAATAGGGAAATTGTACACTGCTGGCGTAACTTTTTAGTTAGTTGAATGCTGACGCTGTCTCTGAAACGTTTAAAATCTGATAGGGCTTCCTCTTGTGCACCCGGACTGCTCCGGCCCTGCAGTAGGAGCATGAACACTCCTGAGATTCTTCTATATGAGTATCTTCAATGTTCGCTCCTCCGCATGCTGCTATTTATACCACCCAAGGTTGGCACGGGGAGGAGAGCCAGCGTTTGAAAAGGACATTGAGTTTAAACTTGATACCATTGTTCCAAGGCCAAGGCAAGAGTGCAGATGTTTAAAATAAAGCAAAACAAAAAAAGCCCCAGCAAACAGCCCCCTCAAAACAACCTAAGCAGCCCCTAACCTCTGTTTTAATACTTTATGATGGAAGCAGAGAACAGAGCATCCCCTTTCTCTTCAGGGATATGTAGGTTCTACCTTCAGACACAGGTCTGACAATCTGCCACCAGGACTAAGGCTGTGGTTTGGTGGGTTTTTTTGTTTTGTGCTGGTGATATCATGGACAGTGCAGCTGGTTAAACACACCAGGGGGTTATCTAAAAGCTGGAGTCACATGTTGTGGCAGATAGAAGACTTCTATTTAAGCAGATAAAATAAATCCTTATTGGTCACTGTCTATACATTGTAAGGTTGGTAACAGTCTGAAAGTAGCTATAAATGTAAAATACTGCTAATACTAAGTCTAACAAACCAGATGATACCTACACTATTGAATAGATATATTAATGGTTAAGAGTTTTATTCCTTCCCCTTTTTTTAAATGAACTCAATACACAACAATAGTTCTCTCTCTGAAGTGAGAAGAACTAAGCTTTTCATGTAACTTTCTTGGGAGCAGAAAAGCTTTAACCTGCTTGATACATATTACCGAGATGTTCAGAGTGAATGGTGGTGACCAACAAGATGGAGTTCACTGTCTGGATTACTAAACAGGACAGGTATTAAAATGTTTATTCTTTGTGTCTTGCACCATGCTCCTGTGGAACTACAGCAATGCACTGTAGCGGCTGGCTCGCGTGACTCCATACAAGCCATTGGGGCTAATTTAGTTCTCCTAATGCTAATTATCAAGTGTGAGCAATAGGTTGCTTTTTGAGCTCTGTTTTTATGAGGCATAATTGTACATGTGGTAACAAGGCTGTATTTAAAATTTATATAGTCACTTTTAAACTATTGCAGAGTTCTGATTTCTGGCTGAGATCAAGCTGCTTAAGAACAGTGGTTGAAATAGTGATAATAATCTGGTAATTCTTATGCTAAAACTTGACCTGGCATAATTTTCCATCCAGAGTAAGCATGATTCTGTGTGTAAAGAATCACCTTACAACAGGTTTCATGGTATCGTTTGGAGCAATTTAGATTCAATAAATAGCAAGCTTTACTGTTGGATGCATAACTGTTCCCAGTTCTCATGTGTTTTACTTCTCAGGTATTGATTTCAACTGTAAGACTAAGTCTGCAAAAATGTAATGTAAAGGCCTTGACAAAGTCTAGATTTGACAGAGTAATGACACTCTAAATGCATTTGGGACTCCTGTTTCTAACTCTTGCATTTTGTGGTTTCAGACTTTTGTCTGCAGTCACATATGGAAGAAGTGGGTTTCTGTTTTAGGAAGAGCCAAGATTCTTGCACAGAGGTGGATTGTTATGATGTCAACTATAAGGAGGCTTTTGCTTGCCTCTTTTTTTTTTTTCAACTCGTGGGACTTAGAATTTAGCTGAGATCTAACATGTCAGGTAGCTAATGATCTCAACAATCTAGCAAAATAATTACTGAGGCTTGTAATAGCAACTGTGGAATGCAGATTAGCCAGCTGGTAGTGTGGGACTGATTTTATATATATAAAAATAAAAGCATAAATATGGTTTTATACATATATATGCATTTCATATATGTATAAGTATTTCATCCTGTTTTGGATATTTTAACAAATAACTATTTTTCAAAGGAATAAGTTCAACTGGGGTGACTGATGAGCCATTTGTGGGGGTTATAGGCAAGGGATGCTACGGAATTCAGTTGGCAGTTGTACCCAGTTTTGGTACTGGAGAGAGACCTTCAAGGAAGGAAGGAAGGAAACTCTGAGTTTGGTGTTTCTTTTTTCTTCTCCTCCTTATTTTATTAGTTTCAGTGTCTTGATTTCTGTGTTACTTAGGGTTACTTGTCTGTAGCTGCAGTATTCCATACTGGTAGTTTCTTTGTGCTGTCTTGGCCTTTAAGTTGCTTGGTTAAAAATACAGCTTGTGGCAAACTCCTTCACCATGAACATTTGACAGTAATGGGAGTAGGTGTTCCTTTTGGGAGATGTTGATCCATAAACAAACACAATATGCAGTATGCTTCCCAATGTTAGGATTATTTATATCAACATTAAAACACTAATTCACTGTTACAATTCTTAATCAATATAAAACTTTCTTTGACAGTACCAGGATGCTGTCCTGTTCTTGAATTTCTGTAATGTCCTTTCAAGAAAAACTGAAGAATAACTTAAAATTTGGTTTGAAAGACTTTTAATACTCCTCTCTGTCACAGACAGTGCTGTTTGGAGTATCATATCATTTGCAGTGATGTCACTTGGAGATTAAACTCTTCTTTTGATGGAGGTTTACCTGTCACAGAGCATGAACTTTCCTGACAGCTTTATTTAAACAGTTGATAAACCTTTTGCTAACTTGCACAGGTTCTGTTCATACTTGAACAGTGCTTTTTGGGATTAGCAAACCCAAAAGTCAAACTTTTCAGAAAACACAGCTTCTACTGAGTCCTATTCTGTCAATTAAATCAGTTTACTCCATTTTCTTGGAAGATTATAATTAAATATGATCAAAAATGCACTGTTCCATCTTGGTTTGTTGGCCCAGATCTGTGTGAAAGGTGATGTATTGGTGGAGGAGCTGATAATCAAACACATTAAAACTCAAAACCCACTAGGGTGAAAGGACAGGTTGTTTGAACAACTAATTCTTGGAGCAAGATGTATGCAGTATTAGGGTTTCCACTTTGTGGAATGCAAAACCAAACTGTTACTAACAATCTTCTATCTTCATCCTGGGAGTACACATTACACACAACATTGGACCAAAATAGTGATCTTGGTCAGCTGGTCTAAGAAATTAGCTCTGAAATTATGATCTCATACTGTTATTCAGCACAAATATCTAATCTGGCTTGTTAGAAAATCTTCAGCAGAGATTGGACAGCTGAGTATGGCATTCTTGAGAAAGCCTCCCCTGTTACCTTTAATGCCACAGTGCAGCTCTTGGTGTAAGGCTTGTTGCGATTTGCTACAGGTGTTCCTGTCTTTTTTTTTTTTTTTAGATATGTTGGTTGAAATTGGGTGGTGATTTGTCCATCTCTGAATGTGGACTTCATGATTCCCTCTGAGAGGCTTGGCAGCTTTTGATTTTGCAAATGTGCTGGTGTTCAAGCCATTATTTCTGCATAACTGTATGGCTCTTTGCACACACTCTCCCCCCCCCCCCC